GTTACTTAGCTTGAATTTTTTCTACCATTTCATGTGATCTTTGCTAATCTGTACATGAAAGACATTTACCTGGCCTTTGTTCCGTATTCTCCAAATCTGCACCCAACAAAAGTCCTTTAATCTCAATCAGAAAACGTTTCTTTTACTAGTACTGTATCATACCATTAAGCAATTCATAGCTCTTGGAAAAAATTTAGCATGTGTACAGTTCTAACTTGCATATTTTTCAGATACCTTCAAGAGCCTAACCAAACATTGGAAGCTATGCTGAAATCCAAAGTCACAACGCTGCCAGGGCATATCCAAGCAGTTTATGTGCAGAATGCTGCAAAGTTGTATGCATCAGTTTTGCAACAAAATGAACAAGCTGGTGACAAAGAAGCTGCTCAAGAAATAACACAAATGCTGATTGACAAGCTGCCCCAGTTTGTTCAGAATGCTGACCTTGAAGTGCAGGAGCGGGTACGTGAACAGCCTTTACTTCCATCAAAGATGAAGCAATTTCACTGTGTCCATCATTGTGTCTTAGATATGTTCTTCGGTTGCTACATTAGTTTGTTTTCAAAGCAAAATTAGCTAGGATTAGGGTGATCTGTTTCCCCAGCCCAGAAGAAAAAACATATTCCATTGAATCAATATTCTTTGACTTCACTTTTTACCCATCTCGCTTGAAAAGATTGTTGGATTTCTGGGAATTAATCACCAGAACTGGTATATTACTTGAACAGATAGTCATGTATAATTTTTAACCATGACTGTTGAGAGATTATTCAGTCATTGAAGATATATTTATAGACAAACATTAACTTTTTTCCTCCACCACCCTCATAGACCTCCAGCAAAGATTGCTGGTTCATTGAAAGTATGGATTCTGTTTTTTCACTTAATGGAGGGCTGTTGTGGTGATGACTAGACTCTGAAACTCATGCATTCTGTGGATTTGTGTCTGAGTGCAAAAATCCTGTTACTGTTCTGTCATCCAGCATTCCACGAACAAAAATAAGTCTTGCATGGTTAAAAGTATTATTGATTGTCACTCTGCATTATGATAATCAATGAGCACTAAATGCTTGAATTTTTTGTAAAACGGCCATTAGCTTTTCCTTCTACTGTGGCATGCATATCCTTGAAGATGCTGTAAGAATTTTAACAACTACAGAATTTGGGAAGTTTGGAATATAACCATTTATACCATGGTCTCTTCTATACCTGTGGCTTCTGAAGAAGACCTGCACTAATGATTTCAGTCCTTTGTCAAATTCCTGTTTGGCCCTGCCTCAGCCACTGTGTCTGATTTGTACTCAATTAATCAAAGCAATTGATGTCTTCATTATGTAACTGTCCTGTATATGGGCATTTAATACGTCAAAATCATTTTCAGTACGAAGCTTCAAGATCATGAAATTTGCTGCCTGTTTCAAACATTAAAGTGATCGTTTTAGAATCAACAGGACTAAGTCAGATTTTAATGCATACTTCCTCTGAACAGCAGGGACGTTTCGTTTCTACTAGGAATTTCACAGGAATGTAGGATGTAAGCTGTTCAGCAACTTGAGTCTGCTTCATCACTAAAGTAGACCATGACCAAGTTTTGACTGCCATTTTTCTATGCTACCCTCTTGATGTCATTAATATCAAGAAATATATTGATCTCGATTATGAATACGCTTGCTGATGCACCTTCTGTGGTACAGAACTTCAAAGATTCATCACTCTCCAAGTTTTAAAAAAAAATCCTGCTTATCTGTATCCTAAGTGACCTCTCATAATCCTGAGACTGTCTATCTGGTTCTACAGCCCATACCCAGGACACCCATCCTTCCTGTATGTAGCCTCTTGAACACTAAGAACTTTTTATGCTATAATGGGGTCACCTTTCATTCTTCTAGACTTACAATATAGACACTGTCTCCTTAAAACTCAATTCCACCATGCCAGGGAGCAGCTGAGCGTGAGTTGCATTCTTTGTATAACAACTGTAGCCTTCCTCAGCTGAGGAGACTAGAACTGCAAGCAATACTGCAGTTACAGTCTTAGCAAGGTTCTGTAAAACTGTTGCAACACACATTCACTCTGTACTCAAATCCTCATGCAGTAAAGGCCATGAGATAAATCTGTCTTGCTCTTTATTATCAGACAAGATTTTTATTTTTAAAAAAATTGAAATCTGTTGTGAATTCTCAACAAGTAGGCAGCCTTGGTAAATGGGCTAGAAAATGATAGGTAGAATACAATGTGAATAGCTTGAAGAAATCCGGTTTTAGAAAGAATAGAATATTTCTTAATTGGTGGGAAATTCGGTGATGTTGACATCCAAAGGGGGACCCTGATGTCTGTCTTCAAACCCTTTCCAAAAATAACGATCATCAATTTGTCCAAACCCGAAAAACTATACATACATGTGCGCGTGTCCACTCACCACCCTGAATGGAAATATATCACTGTTCCAAGATTTTGAACAAGCAATAGTGAATGAACTCCCTTCTTAGCAGAACTGAGGTTGCCTTACAGCCAAGGAGTGCAGTGGTCCAAGAAGGCAGCTCATCACGATCTTCTCCGGAGCATGTGGGAATGGTAAGTGCTTGCCTAACAAGTGAAGCCTACACCCCATAAATGAATAAGAGAAAAAAAAATGTAGATGAGATGCTTCCTGTCAAGTGAGTTTAGTTCTTGGGTATAAATGACCTGAGGTTAAGATGGGGGTGAAAAGGAATTTATTCTGTGTGTGGTGAATATTTGGAAATCTGTGAAAGTTCAATCACGGAGTATGTTCAAAACAGAAAACAGTTATTTCTGGGGACTAATGACATCAAGTGATTTCAAAACTAGCATGGGAAAGTGGTGAGGTCAATGGTCAGCTGTGATCTAATTGAATGGCAGAGCAGGCTCAATGCCTCAGCTGTTTCTTTATGCAAGTTATTTAATATAAAAAGGAATCACATGGCATCAATATCATACAAGCATCCGTGAGTCTCCCATTTGTTTTTTATTTTCTAGGCTTCTTGTATTCTTCAATTGATTAAATACATACAAAAGCTTCAAGCGAAGGATGTCCCTGTCGCAGAAGAAGTGATGGCTTTGTTTGCTGGCGAGCTTAACCCTGTTGCTCCCAAGGCACAGAAGAAGGTTCCATTGCCAGATGGGTAAGAAATTTATTAGGTGGCACGGTGGCTTAGTGGTTCGTCTCTCAGCACCAAGGGCCCGGGTTCAATTCCACCCTCGGGCAAGTGTCTGTGTGGAGTTGGTGCAGACTCTGAGGCCTTCTGCACTGTAGGGACTCAATGAATGCTTATTTCCAATGTTTCGGGTGCGCTTAACAGTATTGCTGCAAATTTGAAGAACTAAGCTTTTTACTGTTGTAATGATTTTTCCCATGAGCTAAGCAAATAGCTGTCCTTGCTGTAGAACTGAAGTGAACTATAGTTAACAACAGATTGATGCATTATTTACTTAAGAAAAAGATGAATGGGTCACTTCCTGGCTCATGCTGTTGTCTTGGTTCCTCAGTGTGTTTCAAATTGTAGTGCTATTTTAGTATAATTGTGTTCTACTGCTTGTCATTGAGTCTTGGGCAATTTCTGTTCTTGACAAAGAACCAAGTCCAGTAAAATGCTGAACTGAACAGATTAGAAAATTCTTGTTCAGTTCTGAGTCTCCACCGATTTCATCCAGGTGGCTGGTTGGTGCATTTGTGCTAACAGGGAAGAGTTATGTGCATTTGGACGTAAGTGGTCGCAGACTGTCTTAGCTTTATCCCTGCAGATCAATAACAGCTGATGCCCTCTTCATTTAAGCTTATACATAAGAAGTAGTCTCTTAGGTGAAAGAACAGTCAGGGTTCACAGAATTGTAACTCCATCTTGAGTAGAAAAAAGGAGAACATGTATTTGTGTTAAGTGAGGCAAGTCTTCTGTTGCTGTTATTTTATCTCTTCCTCTTCAGACTGGATCTTGACGCCTGGATCAATGATGCACCTTCAGAAAGTTCTTCAGATGATGAAAACCCCAAGAAAATGATCTTCCATGAGGAGGAACAAAGGAATGTCAGGCATAGACAGCCGGAAATGGATGAAGATGAGCTTGCACGGGTAACTTCTGAATTTACATTTTTCAGTAAAAGAAATCATAATCTGGACCTGTTTATCTAAAATATATCAGATCTCAACCTGGTCTTCACAAATCTAAAATGCGTTGTTGCTAACCCATTTAATCCAGAAATTCTGATTCTGCCTTACCCAAAGTACTAAGAATTCAGTCAAAAACAACAATAATATTACTTACATTACCAGCAGACAGTGATAACTCTTGGTATTTTGATAACAATTTAAGTCAAAAGCAATCCTTTCTAGCATCTACTTTAGGGACTACTTGGATTGCATCTAATTCACTTTCTTGTGTATGTGTTGCCTCAGCGATGCATTTGGAGCCATAAGACGCAGGAGCAGAAGTAGACCATTTAGCCCATTTGAGCCTTTTCCCACTCTTCAGTTAGGTTATGGTTGATTTGTTAAGCCTCAACACCACTTTCTTGCCTTATTCCCACAACCCTTGATTCTCTTATTGATTAAAAATCTAACTATCTCAGCCTTGGACATAGTTAATGCCAGCCTCGACAGCCTGCAGTAAAGTATTGTGCAGATTCATTACCTCAAGAAATTCCTCCTCACCTATATTAAATGGGTGACCTCTCATTGAGATTATTCCCTTTGTTCCTAGACCCTTCCACAAAGGAAAATAACCACTTGGCATCTACCCTTTAAGACCATGGGATGTAGAGGCTGGAGTAGGTCATTCAGCCTGTCAAGTCTGCTCCACCGTTCACTGAGATTATGGATGATGTAATCTTCAGTCAACTTTCCTGCCTTATCCCCATAATCCTTGATCCCTTACTGACACAAAAATCTGTCTCATCTCGCCCTTGAATATTCTTACGGACCCAGCCTCTACAGCCCTTTACAGTAAAGAATTCCACAGATGCACTAACCTTAGATAAGAAAATTATCCTCATTTCTGTCTTAAATATGCATCTCCTTATTCTGAGATTATACTCTCTGGTACTGGATTTAGTCCTAGGTGAGACAACTCTTCATCTACCCTGTCAATCCTCTTAAGAATTTTAGGTGTTTGGATAAGGTTGCCTCCCATTCTTTTAAACTCGAATGAGTTCAGGCCCAATCTACTTAACCTCATATAATCTTTCCATACCTGGGATCGACCCAATGAACCTTCTCTGGATGGTCTCCACTGCATATCTTTGCTTGGATAAGGGGCTAAAAGTGTTCACAGAATTGTAGTCTACCTAGTGCCTAGTATAGTTTTAACAATACTTCTTTATTTTTATACTCCGTTCCCTTTGAAATTAAGGCCAACATTTTATTTCCATTTCTGATTTACCTGCGAAACCTGTATGATAGCTTTTTGACTAATGCACAAGTACCCACAAATTCCTCTGCTGCAGCCTTCTGCAGTCTCTCTTTCTTTTTAAAAGAAATTCACCTCTTCCATTCTTCCTGCCAAAGTGCATAACCTCACATTTTCCCATATTGTAGTTTTACGTACTCTCAAAACCTATATAAAAGTGTAGAGGCTGTCAACGTCACATTAGTTACTTGTAATTGTTCCCAACACAGAACCTAGCTCACTCAGTTGATAAGGATCCAGTTTCAGCCAGTCTTAAGTGCATCCTTTGAAAATAAACCTGCTCAGAACTACAGAATAAGTTCTTGCACTCAGTAAAACGTGACTGTCACCTGCAACTCAATTGATTGCATCATGCTTCACCCCTGGAGAAACTTACATGCTTAAGCTGATGGCACTCAAATGGTACTGGTGTTGACTGCTCAAATGTCAATGTATGTCCAACTATCCAGCAGTTATCAAGTCCAAAACAATTCCATGTTTTCAAACACAAAACTGTTTAATTTCCACACCTTATCCCTTATTGATTTGTCTTTGGTTGTTTCTTGTGATGAGATGTGTATATATAGATTATGTAAGTTTCTTGTAAGTTGGATTTCAAAATTGAGGCGTTTGGGTCTTGGTTGCTTCTGGGAAGGGCAATTTTTCTTTTTGAAATGGTCAGGGTCCTTCTGGAACAGTGACACATTCCAGCATTTTGCCAAAAACTGGGGGCTGCAGGTCTGTGTGATATTAATGGAAAGGTTTATACTGTTGTGTTGGCAGACAGTGATAAGGACATTAGCTTTGTTTTCAGTTCAGAAGAATTGAATTTTGAACATGTTTTTAAAAGCTGTTCAGTTCAGAGGATGCCAGAGTTGCATTCAGAAGCATAGTTGGTTTTTCCCCGAAAGAATAGTTTAGGTGACAAGTCACCTCAGCAGCAAGATTTTTTTTTTGAATCAACCAAACCAGGAGAGTTTGGTTAGAAATCAGGTTACTGTATGGAAAGGTGCAATTTGGTTCACGTCTTGACAAGCAAGTCCACAAGTTATTGAGACTGGGGAAGTTTAAACTCTGATTTATGAGAAGTTCATATTAGCAGAACACTCATTGAATTGTTTCCACAGTCCACAGCTGAAGAAACTGTCAGGAATCAGTTAAGTAGAACCCTAAAGCTTTGAGATAGGGGTGTAACTTCTTTGGACTTGATTCAATGTATAGGATAGTGTAGGGAAATGGCTTAAAACATTGTTTTGCTGTTTACTTTAGATATTGCCACTGTTTTCTATGTAGATAACTTGGTTCGTCTTTTTCTTATTCTGTACAACAAACCTGACTTGTTCAAGAAATGTACAGCCTTGTGTGAATATGTTTGTGATTTGCCATCATGTTAGCCAACTAAATGAAAAAAAAAAATCTATTTAGCCAGGTTTTATTCTGGGATCAGACTTGTCCAGTGGTTCCATCAGCTAGGATTGTAGGAATCTGCAGATCAGTGTGCCGCAAGGATTATGCTTGGTCCGCTGCTTTTAGTCACTTCTATAAATGATTTGAATGTGAATGTAGGAGGTATGGTTAGTAACTTAGAAGATGACACTAAAATAGGTTGTGTAATGTGCAGTGAAGAAGGTTATCTCAGAGTACAACGGGATCTTCACCAGATGGGCTGATGGGCCAAGGAGTGGCAGATGGAGGTTAATTTAGGTAAATGAGAGGTGTTGCATTTTAGTAAGGCAAACCAGGGCAGGACTAAAAGAACAAAGAAAATTACAGCACAGGAACAGGCCCTTCGGCCCTCCAAGCCTGCGCCAATCCAGATCGTCTATCTGAACCTGTCGCCTATTTTCAAAGAATCTGTATCCCTCTGTTCCCTGCCCATTCATGTATCTGTCTAGATACATCTTAAATGACACTATTGTGCCCGCCTCTACCACTTCCGCTGGCAACACGTTCCAGGCACCCACTACCCTCTGTGTAAAGAACTTTCCACGCATATCTCCCTTAAACTTTTCCCCTCTCACCTTGAAATCATGACCCCTAGTAATTGAGTCCCCCACTCGGGGAAAAAGTTTCTTGATATCCACCCTGTCTATACCTGTCATGACTTTGTAGACCTCAATCAGATCTCCCCTCAACCTCCTGTACAGTTAATGGCAGGGTCCTGAAGAGTGTTGCCAGACAAGAGAGATCTAGGGGTGCAGGTGCATAGTTCATTCAAAATGGAGTTGAACAAGGTGGTGAAGAAGGCAGTTGGTTCGCTTACCTTTTATTGGTCCATGCATTGAGTTCAGGGGTTGGAATGTCATGTTGCAGCTGTACAGGACATTGGTGAGGCCATTTTTAAAAGACTGTGTACGATTCTTATTGCTGTTCTATTGGAAAGATGTTGAACTTGAAAAGGTTCAGAAAAGGTTTACAAGGATGTTGCTGGGATTGAAGGGTTTAAGTTATAGGGAGGGACTAAATAAGCTGGGGCTTTTTGTCCTGGAGCATCAGAGTTTGAAGGGTAACCTTTTATAGAAGTTTATAAAATGATGAGATGCATGGATAGGGTGAATCGCCAAGGTCTTTTTCCTGGGGTGTGGGGAGTCCAAATCTAGAGGGCATGGGTTAAAAATGAGAGGGGAAAAATTTTTTAAAAAAAAAAGCAAAAGGTCCTGAGGGACAACCTTGTCATGCAGAGGGTGGTGCGTTATGGAATAAGCTACCAGAGGAAGTGGTGGAGGCTGATGTAATTACAAATTTAAAAGGCATGTGCATGGATATATGAATAGGAAGGGTTCAGAGGGATGTGGGCCAAATATTGGCAGATGGGATTAAGTCAGATTGTGATGGCTGATCAGCACAGACTAGTTGGGCTGAAGGGTCTGTTTCCATGCTGAGACTCTGGCTCAGTGACTTCTTCACAAGTTCTTAGCCTGTTAAACTCCCTTTAAATTCCAACTCAACAAAGACTACATTGCTTACAAACCCAATGTAAGTCATTTCCAACTTGCCTACGTTCAAATGCTCACTGACCTTTGGTTTAGTTTTCTGTTCTTCAACATTAACTTAAAAATAAATACATCCATTCTAAAAATCCAATGTCTTCCCCTTCCAATTCTAGCTTATTCTGTTTCACCTGTTCTTTGGCATGCAACTAGTTGTATTATCTTCAACAGTTTCAGGTGGTACTATAGTTATTCTTAACATTTCAGCCTGGCTGAACTATTTTTCTCAGTCTGAAGTTTCTTCAAAAGCTTGCTTCTTTTCATTTTGAAGTGTTGCAACACAGATTGGTGTTTGTCCCACTCCATTTCCTTTCGTACAAGTACAATGGAACACTGCGTTTTGTAACATGAATGAAATCTATAATGCAGTGTTATTGGAGTGTCTTGCAATCAAGTTCTCAGTTTTTAAGGTGCATTATCACATCTGATCTTTAAGGGTATCAGGCCGAGGTTTTTTAACCATGTTCTTTCAGTCTATTTTGCTGCAAGCAATCACTTGCATGGGAGCTTTAAATCTAGAATTTTAAAGTTGGTGTTAAGCTTCAAGTAAAATGTAATTTTTGAGTTATAAGGATTTGCTTTGTTTCCTAGCGGCGAGAAGTAAGGAAACAAGAACAGGCAAACAATCCGTTTTACATCAAGAGTTCTCCGTCTTCTCAGAAGGTGAGCTGGCCACCTGTAAATTGATACTACCTTGTCGTTTTCCTTTCAATATTGTGATGTATGTTTCACCCTTTGTTTAGTTTGGTAGGGGGGCTTATGTGTCCAAGCCAATGGTGGACATGGTACCTCTGGTTTACTCTTGTTCAATTTTGCTGACTAGAAGAAAGTAATGTTGAGCTCTTCTAGATTTTAAAATAAAAGAGCTATTCCCTAACATCTTAATGGGATGAGACATGAGCAAATGTAAGCCTAAACCATATAGATTTAAGGCTTCAAGACTCCTTGGCTCATCTCAGCTATAGCAGCACTTTTGGGCTATCACATTGGCATTACTGCCTTTGAGCCGAAAAGGAGATTAGATTCAGGCAAGATTTCTCCCCAAATGTCACAAATGACTATAAATTAGAAATGCATTTGGATGAAATTTCTATGAACTCAAATTTTCATCTTCAACATTGACTGACATTCACAAATGCTACCAGTTGATACCTGGAACCTAAAGTGAAAAATAGTAACTAGGGCAGGTTTCTAAAGTTTTCTCCGTTCTTGTGGACATTTTCAACAAAGGTCAGTGTCTGTAGGAGGAAAGGGGTCATGTGTAGAATATTGTTTATTTTTCAACAGGAAATTTGATGGACACTTCAAGGAAATAAGCTTTCAGGGTGATAGGGATAGAGTGGGGAAACGGAACTGATTGGAATATTCCTCAAAGCCAGCATGGGTTCAGTGGAAAGGAGGAGCCTCCTTGTTTACTGAAATGACTCCATGATTAACTATTTTCAGAAATGATATCATGGCATGGAAATAATTGTAATAGCCTATTGGGAAGAAGTTTGACATCAGAATAGATAAAGATATCAATTTTGTTATGATTAGCATATTTGTTCTTTAGGTAGTTCTAGGGTATTAACTCTACATGGGTTGAACTGAGAAAAGTTATGTCTGTGTGTGAAATTCTTGCATTATTGCCATTTATTTTCAAAGAACTCATTGTAGACGATTAATACGAAATGATATTGATTAATTTCATGAACAGCTGTGTTTTGTTTGATTCCAGAATTACCAAGATGCCAGTGGCGTTGATCATATACCTGTGGTGCAGATTGATCTTACAGTACCATTGAGAGTACCAGGTAATTGGCATTATTGCAGTTCTCTAGCTTCCATCTATTGCACATAAGGTGTAGTTGCTATATATTGCACTGTTAATTTTTTTTATAGTGAACATCTGTCACTATGGAAAGTCAA